ATGTTCAGTGAATGACCAGCTAAATGAACAAATGAATCTGCTGCTTGGCATTTTACTGTTCTCAAGAGCTTCCAAGTGTTATAGGGATTCCAGAGTACTGGTAGGTGCTAAGAGTAAACCACTCACTGCCCTGAGATTGATGATGCTCATTTCCCTTGAGCCCTTTCCCTCCCTCTCCAGAACCCCTTCTTACCATTCTCAGAGCTGGGGCTTGATGTCAGCCTTTGAAGAATTCCATTCAATCTGACTGACAGGAAGGCACTGTAGCAGAGCAGTTGAGATGCTGGTCTGGAGGCTGCCCATCTGGATTTCAGTCTCGGCTCTATCCCTGCTTGCTGGAAGGGTGATGACCACTGTGGGCAGGGCATCTGTGCCTCAGTTTCCTCATTCTCTTCCAACAGGGAGACCACTAGTATTTATATCATAGGATTGTATTGAGGGTTAGCTACAAAATAATCCTTGTAAAGCACCTAGCACAGTGCCTGGAACTTAGCAAGCACTCATTAAATGTACCAGCTGCTGTCTAAGTTGCTGGGAGGTTTTTGTAAGTTTCTAGAGCAAAGCTTATTAGCTGGCAGAACCTGGACCTATTACAGCCCACACAAATGTGTGTTGTTTTTCTGGGGTCAGAGTATGGAGGTGGTTACAGAGGTTTTTAAAATAACAGGAAATACAACATAGAAGACTGGATTTATGATTTCTCTTGAGAACATTAGAACGCCTAAGTGGTTTAGAGTATGGAATCAGAAGCCAGACTTTGAATTACAGTCTCCACTCTGCTAGTTTCAAGATATGTGACCTTAAACAAGTTACTAAACCTCTCTATTTCTCAACTTCTTTGGTCCTAAAATGGAGATAAAAATAGCATTTTATAGGCTTCCTGGGGCAATTAAATGAGATAATATAATTTAAGCTGTTTGTAAAACTGTCTGATATGTAATAAACCAATAGTAAGTAATATATGCTGCTTTTGTTGCTGCTGCTATCAGTTTTATTACTGTTTTTGTTACTAGCCATCAACCCTGGACCCAAATTCCCCCCCTATGCCAACATCACTTGGCATGAATTAGCAGATGCCCCTGTGAGGTGGAGCATGACATTTCCAGGTAGTCATAATCCCTACGACTCCCTGTCACCTTTTGCTGTCCTGCTTTTCTTATTAGCCGTTTATTTCATTTGTCTCAAGATGGCATTTGGGTTGCACCCTCCCTGCTTTTTGCTGCTAGGTCCATCCTTTTGGGCATTCATGTCCAGGAAGGTTGTGTGAGTCAGTCTTCCTGAGGTATGAACCTCAAGGGACATTTAGCACTGTGGTTCTTAATGAATGTAGCATCAACATCCCCGGGAAACTTGTTAGAAAAGCAGATTCTCAGCTCGCATCCTGACCTACTGAATCAGAAACTTTGGGCTCGGGCCCAATGATCTTTGTTTTAAGAGGGTTTTCAAGTAATTCTAATGTCCACTAAAGTTTTAGCATGTGTGTTTTATGTCCATATTATCTACATTTAAAACTTTCTATTTAAAACTTAAAATGTTGAGCCATGTTTCTGGGCACTTCAAATGACTTGTGAATTCTACATTCAGTAAGGCCACTGTCCTCTAAACCAGCATTTCTTTAGAGATTAGAAACTGCTTGGCTTGCGCTTTGCTGCCTTGGAGATTTTGTTCTAAGATCCACGTGCATTTTGATCTAGTAAATTAACTGGAGGAATACAGCTTACCTGGGGATAACGGATAGATATATTTAGAAAGAAGACTTTAGAATGTTATAGAAGATACTGCTTTTAAATGTATATGGAATATATGAAGAACTGGAATAAAGATTGAGTAATTTTTAAATAAATTGTTTTTTTATTAAGTTTCTCAGTCTTCTAACTTCTGTACATTGGGAATTTGCATTGCATCTCTGCTTCTCCCTCTCCCTTCACAGTAATTTTTCTTGATTTCTCGAGAATTTCAAGAATTCTTCTCTGTATGGCACAGTGCCCCTATCCTGACTTTCAGAAAGCTTATCCTGTTAGCCATTAAAATAATTACATTTTAGCCTTTGACAAAAAGTCATTGATTATTTTCTCAGCTCACATACTCTATCAAAACTTTTTTTTTTCTTTGCCGCCTCCGTGCTATTTGTGGGTATGGTATAGCATCTTATTCATAGCTTATGTTACAGTTTTGCTTTGTGGTTGCTAGTTTGGGAAGTTTATCTCAAATAGTTGCTTTTAATTTTGTGAATCTGCTTTTATGACACTTCTAATGCTTGTCTTCTCCTAGTTCTGGGTAGATTGTTTTATTCTGCACATCAAGCACTCCATTACTGACTATAATATTATCACAGAATAAACTATTAGTTTAATAGAGGACAGATTTTCCCATGAAATTTTAACTTGAAAGATTCCTGTTTTAAAGAAAAAATCTTGTGCATTAGCAATACCTACATTTTGTTTACATTGAAAATGTCATTAGAGGTGAAATACAAAGGTTATACCACTGAGCGTAGCTCACTTATTTTTAACCAGAGTGGCTTAGATGCAACCACTTATAATATGTATTACACTCTATGGATCAGTGATATCACTAATAGTTATTATGATTTAATTATTTTATTTGAGAGAATGAAAATCCCACATCAATTCTTCCTAAAGGAAGTTGCAAAGATTTCAGTAGGTTACAATTACAAATTTTACTTAACTGAAACTAACAGTGCATTGCTGAAGCATTTTGTCAATAGCTTTAAAATTGAAATGTTGATAGACATTAACCCCAAAGCTACACATGCATTGCTTAGTAACACTACATCCTTAATGAGTATTCACTAGTAAACCTAGGACATTTCTCTCCCCAAGCCCCTGCATAAACACTATGGGAGAATAAGTGAAAAGAACTTGAACATTCATTTCAAGACATTTATATCATCTTTTGATAATAAAAACATCAGAGACTTGGCTTTTGCCCTTGTTTCCCTAATATATAAAAACCAGTTTGGTTTATTTCATCAAGCATTTATTGATTGCATGATGAAATAGTATCTCTACCCTCAACAGTATACATGGTTATTTAAAGGGTAGACATATGTGTGAGTAAGTAATTACAAAGCAGTGTGGTAAGTACATTAACTCAGGCATGACCGCATACACAAGAGAGAATGATTGGGTTTGAGGTGGTAGAAGGTTGACCAGGTTAGATTCCATAGACTGATCAGTGGCAATGCAGGGGCATGAGTTTTCTGTGTGAGAAAGAGGGAAATTGACATGTGCAGAGGCTGAGGGCAGAAAGGAGTATGGCATGGCTGGCAGTAACAAATTTATACAATTAAATAAGAGATGGAAGGACAGTGAGGAGATGAGGATGGGAATGTAGGAGCTCTCGTGGCATAGTCAGTAAGGCATTTGGCTTCTAACCAGAAGGTTAGTGGTTAAACCCACCAGCTGTTCCAGGGGAGGAAGATGGGGCAATCTACTTCCATAAAGATTTATGTATTAGAAACCCAATGGGGGTCGCTATGAGTCAGAATCAACTCTATAGCAGTGAGTTTTTTTTTTTTTTTTTTGGTCATGACCTTTAAGACATGGAAGGAAGTCTGGGCTTTGCCTTAAGATAATAGTGCTGGAGCTAGTGGCATATTTACAGACCATGACCACTCTATGCATATTCTCTAGAGGATAGAAACCAGTACCCACAATTCTGTAATCCAAAATGACCTTGTATTACTTTTTATGAATCAAAAAGTATCCAAGAAAAACAGTGAAGATAGATAAATACAAATAGGTCACTAACCTTTGAAAATCTGCCAAATTGAATATTACTAACTACAAGGGGCAGCGGTTCCATCTCTCAATGTACTCAGATTGGGAGTATTTGAAACTTTTGGAGTCTTTGGTCTGTGAGGAGTATTGTGAGAGATACCAAGTAAACATGCCATTGTCTTCAAGAAATTTAACTGCCAATTCAGTGATATAGTGAATAAAACAGCTAACCAGTAAAGGAAAATCTGCAGTCGGGGCTCTAACACCCAAACAATGGGAGAGGTCATTATTTGAAACCAGGGGTCTGAAACAAGGCAATGGGATTACAGCCCAAGAAGGCTTTACTGAGTGTGTGGCTTACTCAGCTGGCATTAGACAATTTTCCAGGCAGAAGAAGAATCTGAAGAGTAATAACATAGCATTCCTTCTCTTGAATTGTATACAATCTGTTTAGCATGTAAGCAAAGTACTATATTGTTTATGTGCTTTAATAATGGTTTTTATGCCTCCTGTAGAATATTGGGCTAATGAGGAGAGGCTTTTTGTAATTAGAAGGAGACACTTTTTGACATCTTGTGGATTCCCAATCTCTTTATACCTAGCATCTCTTCAATCCCTAGCTTCAGCTTTCCTTAAAGAACCTTATTTGTTTGTCTAAGGAGCAATTATCTTGACATTTGTAGGATACAAAAGCAATAATATTGTTTGAATTATGTGTGTAAAAGAATGTGAGATGTTTAAAGAAAACGCACACATCAAGTTGCCTTTGACTGTCCTCTTACTCATGGTGACCCCGTGTGTGTCAGCATAGAACTGTGCTCTGTAGGATTTTTCAGTAGCTAATTCTTTGGAAGTAGATCACCAGGCCTTTCCTGGAGGCACCTTTTGGATGGACTTGAACCTCCAGCCTTTTGGTTAGCTGTGAAGTGAATTAACCATCTGCACCACACAGGAACTCTGAGGTGTTTAGGGATGTACGTTTATTTGTAACAAATCTTTTCCAAATTGTAAGCTAATGATCTTGAAAAGATGACCTCTAGTGGACATTTACTTTCCTTTGCAGTCCTTAATGATAATCATTCTGCTTAAGAATATGTCTGTTGAATTAAAATCTATTCTTTTTTGTACACCAGGAAAATAACATGTAAGAAAGCATTTGTTCCAGTTGTTTTTCTTTTATTGTTTAAATTTGATTTGCAAATAAGTTATCTTTTAGAAGTCTCCCCAGTAAATAGAAGTTAACTATGTATAAAGTTGTCAGCTTAGGGTTATATTGTCTGTCTGGCTACTGTGATTTTCTTGGCTTTGTGCTGTGGTCTTTCTCCCTCTCATACATGGTAGTCTTTTGATGAATTTTTTACATAAGAATATGTATATTAAGGGATCCATACAAATGTTAGTTGCTGCCAGAAAGAGAGTTGTTTCCTTTGCAATGAACAGTTGATTTTGCAGTCTACAGTCAGTCTTATTGTTGGTTTGACTGTGTGTATATGGAACTCTGGCAAAATGAAACGGGCCAAAACATACAAAGAACACAGCCACTACAACAAACACTTTACCTTTTAGCCGTTTGTTGCTTCTGCTGTCCTTACTTTTGGATTTTCTGTAAGAATTATATACTTTTTTTGCAATCACCACATAGAACAGAAACATGAGAACAAAAACAGTCCAGAAAATGAACTGGCATATATAATTCACCACTTGATGCCATTTCAGCCCCATGGGACTCTTCAGGGAGGCACACTTCTTCACTGATAATGGTGTTGCTTGCTTGTTACTTAAAATCATATTTGGCAAGGAGATTAGGAACAAAAGGAGCCAAATGAGAGCTGAGACTGTTTTTGCAAAACCAGGCTTTTGTACTAAAAACTTTCCAAAAGGTCTGATGATCTTGAGGAATCTGTCAAAGGCAATGAGGCCTAGCAGTGTGATGCCCACATACATGGTCTCATAGAAGACAACCGCTGAGAAGCGACACACGAAAGCTCTGAGTTGCCAGGATCCAAGGTGCGAGTCAGAGAGGATTTTAAATGAAAGCATGAGAGTCATTATCAAGTCGGCCACCAAAGTGTTTTTGAGGTAGACAATGAAAGTAGAAGAGCTGGGGATGTGAAGGAATGCCCACAGGGCCACAGTGTTCAGCAGGATGCTGGTGAGGAAAACGCCTGTGTAGAGGGCTGGGAACACCAGCTGTGCTATCCGCGTGTCCCTGGGGCACCGCTCAGACCCATTGAGGGCCTTCACCACTGTGGCATTCATTGTTTCTAATGTCAGCTGTTACAAATAAATATGTGCACCTACAACATAAAACAAAAACCTCATGATTTAGAAATACTACTAAATAAATAAATAAATAAATAAATAAATAAATAAACCAACCAACTTCAGATTTGTAGCATATTAACCCCTTGTATTTATTCAGCTCTTTCAGTAGATCTGTTGTGAAGGTATATGTTGTTTCTAACTGGAATTTTTAAAGCATGTAATACCGTTTTGGTACTTTTTGCAATACTGTGACTTTCACACTCTTAAGAAATCCAAATAGCATGTTCTATCCATTCACAATTGCTACTTTTCATATGACAATAAAGTTCCCATTTTCTAAGAGGTAACAGTACATTTCAGATTGCTATACTGTAACCTAAGGTTGTAGAATGTTAATTTAAAACGTTTTTTTGTTAAGTATATTCTCTCTTTCACAAACAAACCCACTCATAATAAAAATAAAAACTGAAATTCACCTTTGTTGGGAAGGATACTCAGCTCTGTGTCTTCTGACTGTGGCAGGCATTAGTTCAGCAGGAGAGCATTTGAAGCCAGTGTCATTGTTCTGCTTTCTTACCCTGGGTTTCCTTCCTCATTTTCACGTGTGTGATGTGATCCATTAGAATCTCTTCATATTCAAAATTTTGGGGATTTTCTAATAAGGAAGTTCTTTTAGTTCAAATTTATGTATTGTTAATCTACTATACTTGAATCCATGAGTTAATTTGCAATTATCTTTATCATATTTTCCCATATTATAACTTATCTGCAATTTATCTTCTCTCTCTACATGTTCAACTAACATTTTCAGTGCCTCTTAACTATACAGTAAGCCAAGCCACTGTCATCAATTCTGATTCATAGTGGGCTTCCAAGGCGGTAAATCTTTACGGACATGGATTGCCCCATCTTCCTTCTGTGGAGCAGCTGGTGGGTTTGAACAGCCAGCCTTTGGGTTAGCAGTCAAATTGCTTCAGTGCTGTGCCACCAGAGCTCCCCCTTATACACAGTAATAGTAGGCAAAAGATAAAATAACCTCCAATTATAACGTAGTAGAAGAATAAGACTTGATCCTAAAGTCCAGCTGAATCATCTTCTGCCTCCTGGTGGACTTTTTTTTTTTACAGGAATTTGTATTCAGGAGGATGGCCTATTTATTTCTGTAGACATTTGTCCCAATCTCTTGGTTCTTGGATCTCTGAGAGATTAAATGGCATGTTTTCTAAGAGGTAAGGGCTTTTAGAGCCAGACTGGAGCTCTGGTAGCATAGTGCCTAAGGCATTTGACTGCTAACCAGAGGGCTGGCGGTAAAAACCCACCAGCCACTCCTCGAAGGAAGGTTGGGCAATCTACTTCTGTAGTGATATCACCTCAGAAACCCAAGGAAGGGTCGCTATGAGTCAGATCCGACTCAACAGCAGTGTGTTTGGTTTTCTTTGCTGGGTAATTTCAGATCCACCATTTATAGGCTGCTTGATTATATGCAAATGATTTAAGAGCTCTGTACTTTACTTGCCACCTCATTTCATTATCAGTAAAATGGGTTTAATAATAGTGTTGATGAGAGGATAAACTGATTTTAGAGTAGTGTTAGGATTACAGGAGGCAAGGAGCTCTGGTGGTGTAGTGGTGCTAAAAGGGCAAGGAGGCCACATCTCCTGACCTCCTCTAACCTTACAAGAAGAAGACAGGATAGCCATCAGTAACACAAGGCATATTCCTGCAAGGCCAGACATGCTGCCTCCTGCTAGCCGTTACACCAGCCGTTCCTCCGCAGCACCCAAAGCCTAAATGCTAGGTTTGATAATTCACTGCAGTGGCCACACAGAACTCACAGATTATGGGGTTTATTAGGGAGGCACCAGGCTACAATTCAAGTTCAGGAACAATGTTCAGTCTCTCTCCCAGCCCGCCATCTCTCACCCAACAGTCTCTCTCAGTCTCTCTCCCAGCAATATGTGTCTCTTTCTCAGCAGCACATGTCTCTCAGTGTCTCTTTCTCAGCAGTGCATGTCTCTCAGTATCTCTTTCTCTCAGCAGCACGTCTTCCTCAGCCAGAGGTCGGAGAGAGACTTCTGCCTCTAGGAGGCCTCCTTTTGAACCCGGCAGAGTGGCCAAACCAACCAATCATAACATCAGAATTCTAAGCACCTGAGAGATAGCGGGAACCTCCCAGAACATTATTTTGTACCACTCCCAACAGAAATACCCCAAGTGGACAACTTTAGCAATCGGAAGCTCCTCAGTTGCTCATGGCAAATTCCACCTCAGAGTTTATAAAGACTTAAGGGTAGAAAATCCACACTAAGTAATTTACTACACTGCAAATGGATAAAGCATTCAGCTGCTAATCAAAAAGTTAGTGGTTCGAACACAACAGCTACTCCACAGGAGAAGGATGAGGCAGTCTTCTTTAATAAAGATTGACAGCCTTGGAAACACTATGAGACAGTTCCACTCTGTCCTATAGGGTCATTATGAGTCAGAATACACTCAGTGGCAGTGGGTATATAGGAAGTATTCAAAATTGTCAGCCCCTCACTGCTATGATGAGTGGATTGCAGATACAAACAAAAACGTTTTACTGGTTCACTTGTTGTTGTTGTTGTTATGTGCCATTGAGTTGGACCCAACTCATAGCGACCCCTCCATGGGTTTCCGAGGCAGTATCACTACAGAAGTAGATCGCCCCATCTTCCTTCTGAGGAGTGGCTGGTAGATTTGAACCGCCAGCCTTCAGATTAACAGTCAAGTGCCTTAGGCACTATGCTACCAGAGCTCCTAGTTCACTTATTAGAAAACCATTTTTGGAAATCTCTTCTGAATTGGCTAAGACACTTGCCTGCTAACCAGACGGCTGGCGGTTCAAACCCACCAGCCACTCCTCGGAAGGAAGGTTGGGCAATCCTACTTCCGTAGTGATACTGCCTCGGAAACCCAAGGAGGGGTCGCTATGAGTCGGGGCCGACTCGACGGCACATAACAACAACAACAACAACAATGAAGAACAACATGAAGAACAAAAGTCTACAGAGATTTCACCCATCAATGTTGTGCCAAAGTCTATAAAATGTTTCCTTTAGTTTGCTTTAAGTTTGGAAAGGTGTAATTGCTGCTTTCCTATAAGATAATGCTGCTATTCACAGCAGAAAGGCAGCCTTATCAGGCAGGTAAAGGAAGAAGCAGACATTTGGAAATCTTATGGGGGATGTGGAGTTTCATGGTGAGTTTCACTTCCTATTTCTTGCCCTCAGGCTTTATCGTAGACTTATATCAGACTGTGTGGTTGGCTTGATTGAGAATTAATGAATACAACATTAGGGAGGAAGAATTTTGGGGGTTAATTTGGCTAGGAAATCTGAGAATAAAAACCACATACCTGCCTTGGTGTTTTTAAGTATTAGGCAGAATCGACTGATCATAGTGGTTTTCATGCACACTGTTCACACAGTTTAAAAAATGTTTTGACTCAGTGTTTGACTCAAATGTTTGACTCAAATGTTTCTGGGAGATACAAATTCTATATTTCATTAATTTAATGGAAGATGATTTAAACAGATCCTTTATTTTTTTTATTTATTCAGAGAACATTTAAAAATAGCAAACTTAAATTATTATTTTTTTTTTTCTTAAATAGAGGGATTTAATGGGTGCTCTGGTGGCATAGTGCCTAAGGCATTTGACTGCTAAAGGCTGGTGGATTTAGCCTAATAACCTAAATAGCAACCCCACCCTGGGTTTCCAAGGCTATATCACTATGGAAGTAGATTGCCCAACCTTCCTTCAAGGAGTGGCTAGTGGGTTTGAACTTCCAGCCTTCTGGTTAGCAGTCAAATGCTTTAGGCACTATGCCACCAGAGCTCCTAATTATTTTTTGGTAATTATTTGTCAGCCTCCCTGCAGCTCCAAATCTGTTATCTAAATGGAGGTTAAAGGAGCTCTGGTGGTAACAGTGGTTAAAACATTTAGCTACTAACCAAAAGTTTGGTGGTTTGAACCCACTAGCCATTCCACAGGAGATTGGTGTGGCAGTTTGCGTTCTAAAGATTTACAGCCTTGGGAACCCTTTGGGGCAGTTCTGATATACCCTATACGGTACCTCTAAGTCAGAATCAACTCGATGGTAGTGGGTTAGATGGAAATTTGGAATAGTTTCACTTTAAAGAACGGAAATGCTGTAAGAGAATTTCATAATCTGAAAATACCACAGTGTGGAAACTCTAAAAAAACAAAACAAAAAAAGGAACTTATTTACCTAAACTTCTGGAGTTATAGAAACTTATTCTTTTAAATGTGGTAAGTTTCAAAATGTTTGATTGTAGTAGATATCCAAAAATCATCCATTTTCTATATGTTAATGTTTATTATAAGTTGGCCAACTTTCTATTTTGCCCCTGAGGGCACATCTGAGAGGCCACCCAGAAGAACAGTTAACCAGTATTACTTCTGGAGCTCAAATGCATGGATTCAGATCCTTATTCCAAAAGTTACTTATTTTGTGACTTTGGTCAAGTTATTTAAGCTGTCTGTGACTTGGTTGCCGCCTCTTCACAGTGAGGCTAAACCATAGTATCTACATTCTTCCAAGTACGTAGAATTGTTGTTGTTACGTGCCGTCGAGTCAAACCTGACTCAGCGACCCCTCCTTGGGTTTCCAAGGCAGTATCACTACGGAAGTAGGATTGCCCAAGTATGTAGAATAGTGCCTGGCATATGTTAGGCACCATGTAAGTTTCTTGTTAAATAAAATTGAAACAAAACTGGAATACCATGTACACCCTAGGAAAGCCCATGAAAGACAGGGAGGAATCAAAGGAGATCAGTGGAAGGTTACAGAAATGAAAAAGTTTGCTAAACAACAACAAAAATAACCAAAATACTATACCAATTGCCATTGAGTGGATTCCAACTCCTAACTACCCTAGGGGACAGACTAGAACTGTCCCATAAGGTTTCCAAGGTTGTAAATGTTTAAGAAGTAGACTGCCATATCTTTGTCCTATGGAGGAAGTGGTAAGTTTGAACTGTTAACATTTTGTTTAGCAGCCTAGCACTTTAACCACTGTGGTTCCTTTTAAGAAATCTGCTTGACGGGGATGAATTAAACATTTAAAATCCTATCAGAGTCAGAGGGGATATAATCAAAATCAACAAATCATATTAATTGTACTGTGTTAAGTGATTCTATTACCTTGTTTAATCCTTAAAACAAGCAAACAAACAAAAACCCTCGCTACCATCGAGTCGATTCCGACTCACAGTGACCTACTTTGGTGTCTTCCAAAGTGGTAAATCTTTACGGGAGTAGATTGCCCAGTCTTTCTTTTGTGGAGTGGCTGGTGAGTTTGAAATGCCAACATTCTGGTTAGCAGTCTTACAATAAACACTCCTTAGAAATCTCTCCCTTTTAATAAGTAAGAAAATCAAGGCACAGAAGTTAAGCAATTTGCCCAGAGTTACACAAGTCAGACCCAGTTATGTAAACCCACCCAGTGTGGTTCTAACATGCATACTAAGAACCCCTACCTCACTCTC